CCCCTGCACGGAAACGTCGGCCTCAGGATGAACAGATAAGTTTGGACGCCATCAAAGAGGTTGTGCACGGAGAGATACAAGGAGCAGTGTCTGGCATGACGGATAGGGTGGCCGCCACAATGACACCTTTCAAGCGCTGGAGACCCTATCCTCCGGGCAGGCAGAGCAAGGATTACGCATCGCTGAATTGGCCGCTGATTCCAAGAGTATGGTAGGGAGGCTTTCCCAATTGCAGGGCAAAGTCAAGCAGCTTCAGTCCGCTGGAAACACTCCTTCCACAACCGATACTGGTCGAGCCCCTGCCTTGGTTATGGGGGGATGGTCCCAAGACAGCCCAGCGAGCGAAGTTCTTCAAAAAACGAACGAGTCAAATGGCATGTGACCTTCAGCTCCAGTTGAACATGAGCGAGGCCTTCGTACCTGGTGTCAGAACGGGGTTTGTCCTCATCCCCCTGAGCCCACAAGACGGGGAGACTGATGAAGGCATGCGGCAATCGGCACAAGCTTGCATCCGTCGCGTCAACGGGGCCAATATCACCCTGGGAATCCCTGGGACGCAAGGCCGATGGCAACCCTGCCAAACTTTGGCTTACAGTTAGCCAACCACCTGAGCGACGTCGCCGAGCTGCACTTGCATGCAAGATCAAGCGCCTTGCTCGCTGGTTTCCGGGGGAACCCCAGCTGTCACGCCTACAGATCGTGTTTCTCCAAGAGGTCACGACCAGCGGCGGCCCTCATTTCGATCATAACGAGACGTGGATGCTAATTCACGGGAAACAAGACTGTGAGTGGAGAGGCTGTGGCATCGCATTCCTGACGGTTTTGGGCCACCATGAGTCCCGCTCCCTTCACAAAGCAGCCACCTGTACCATCCTGCGTGATCGCCGTAGCAAGCCCCTGGGCCTAATTTCAGGCCATGTCTCGCACGGGTTCAGCATTGCCCAAACTGCTGAGGCGCTGTCGGATTGGGGGTCATCCCCAGCGAACAACTGCAACAGAGTCCTACTAGGAATGGATGCAAACGAAACCTTTTTGCAGCCAGAAGGAGTCTTAGGCCGCACCACCCTTTCATGCACTGGTAGAGGCCAGCAGGTTCTACAGAGGATGATGGAAGTCAATCTCCCTATGCCGCTGCAATCGGTGGATGTACCTTCCTATTTCCCCTATAACCCTGATTTGAAACCTAGAAGGCTTGATTATGTAGCTGCGCGAGGCACCAAAGTTGCCAACTGCGAAGTGGGTGCCTTTAGGGATAGGGCAAGCTCTGAGTATGAGCTGTTCGGGGAGGCCCTCTTCCCCTTGCCTTTGCAACCGCAACGGGGGGTTCTGTGGTGTGCCCGAAGTCTTTGGCCAAACTATGAGTCCCTTCTGCAAACTGCGTACCCTGGGCCAGGTGACCTGCATCACCTGATCGCACGCACGGCACAGTCCATCACCATGCCCGCAAGTCGCTCCCTCAAATTCCAAGAAAGCAAAGCTTTGAAGCTGCTACGCAGGAATGCCAGGGACTTCCCCCCTGGACCTCGGTCTAGAGAGGCATGGAAGCTCATCAGCAAGACCTTGCAAAAGGAAAGGCGACTTTGGAAGCAAGATCTTCTCAATCGCGCTGGGGCGATGGATTGGAGAGTGTATTTCGCTCCCTCGAGGACAAGCAGGCCTTCACGAATTGGGCAGCAAAGCTCCTTGACGATCCCAACTGGGCTGCTAAACTTCAGAAACGCATGTCTTCCATCTTTCAGCGCGCTCCCCCAGAGCATACACGCAGCACCATGCAGGCACTGCTCGCGGAGGTATAACACTCCGATGCAAATATGTGAAGTGGCGCCCCTTTTCCGAAGCTGAGATGCGCATCACCATGGCCAAAAGGCAAAATCATAAGACCACAGGCCCTGATGGCATCGCACTCGAAGCCCGTAAGGTCATGTTCGAGGACGACACATGGAGGCCCATACTGGCCGAACTACTCAGTGATAGCCTTCATTCGGGGATGCCTCCCCCGCTGGGCCACTGAAGGAGACACGCCCCAGGACGTGGCAGTTGCTCTTGCGCAGGGGAGTGCCCCTGCTACAGGACTGTTGTCGCCACCAATGGGCGAGCATAGGTAAGCAAGGGGTTGAACTTGTTCTCGCAAATCGGAAACTTGCTAGGGTGGCTCACGAGTGGAAAACGCCTTTTTCCATCGTCAAGATTGACATTGCTACAGCCTTTGACTCGATTGCCCAAGAGTGCCTAGGGGATGTCGTAGTGCGATAAATCTCGAGAAAGGGCGATATGCCCTGGGAAGCACGCCTGTGGCTGAGTCTGCTGGACGCACGGGAGTTAAACTTCTTTGTGCGCAAGCATCAAGTCCGCATCGACCAATCCAACGGGGTTCGTCAAGGCAGCCCTGATGGCCCCGTGTTCTTCGCCGCTGAGATAGGGGAGACCCTAGATGCGACCTTAGATGCTGTGAACGGGGGGAAACCCCCGCATGTAGGCCGTCACCATGCGCTCGAGCCCCCGCCTCACTCGGGCGCGGCTTTCATGGACGACACATATGTATGGGGAGAATCCCCTGCGTACGTGCAGATGCATGCAGCAAATCTTGGCCGAATTAGACAAACGCCTCCCGAATTAGAAAACGCCTCCTTGCCATTGGCCTTCGGATCAACGCCAAGAAGACGCAGGTTGTCTCTAGCAAGGAGGATGACCCTTTCGCTTTGTCATAGGAGGAGTGTCAGTCGCACCTGATGGCCCCAAGGACATCATGACCATCCTGGGAGCCCCTATCAACATGACGGGGCAAGTCTCCCCCATTGTTGCAGAAATGCAAGGTCGAGCCAGGAGATCTTTCCATAAAGACAAGAAGGTCCTGTGTTCCCGTGCGCCTCTCAAGGAACGCCTGATGATGCACCAAACTTTAGTGCGCAGCGCCGCACTCTGGGGATGCCCAGCATGGCCTGTGAATGCTTCCCTCTTGCAAGCTGCCAACAGCACCCAGCTTTTGCAGGTCCGTGCTATGACCTCGGGGAAACGACCCCTGCTGCATGGAGAGACCTGGGTGCTCCATGAAGTTCTTCAGAAGTCCTTTGTACAGCCAAGTGAGGCAGTCACCACTTTGGCATACAGAGCTTGCTACTATGTCCACCAGCTCGGCATGGTATCGATGGTTGCTTACGTACATGCCAAGAAGTGCAAAGCTTGGGAACAAGTACAACGGCTGACTTCGACCCCACAGCCTTCGAGCTTGCAATCTCCATTCCCTTCTTGGAAGCTATAGCTGCCCTACAACATCCGGGAACTACCCCGACGGCTCCTTTACAAAGAATTGGCCCACATCCAGGAGCTGCCCAAAGACTCCAAGCTCACCCTTTCATCATAGGGAAAAGACCCAGAGGCGCCAAGTGTGCACGAAGCCATCGCGTGCACTCGCTGGATGCACTGGATTGGAGCCATTTATGGAAGAAGGAAGCATCCTTCAAATGGGGGAAACCTTGAATATTGCGCTCCAAGCAATACAGAGGTGCAGGAGCCATGTGGATACTTTCTTGGAATGGGCCAGGAAGGAGTTCGCGCCAGCCGTCAGGAAACCCGGGGTCAAACGGCCCCGTACCATGGAAAAGCCATCTGGGAGCAACCAAGTGCCGAATCTTGTTCGACCTCATGGGGACGACCGTGGACTGCTCGGGGGAGATCCCGCACTTGTCCTACCGCGCCGACCTGCTCCTGCTGAACACGACCGAGCTCACCGTGACCTACAAGAACGCAGAGATGGGCTGCATAGAGGCGAAGCTACCCCCTACCCCGTGCTCAAAGCCCAAGAGATGACTCATCCCGTTTGCTAAGCACGAAATGGCGACAAACCTGGCAGAAGCTCACGCTCACCTTGAGCAATTGACGCATGCGTTATGGGGACATCCCATACAATTGCTCGAGACTCACGACGACCTCCCGCAGACGCAGATGGAAACCGGGGATGAACCCCTGCCTCCCAGCCAAGTCGAAACCGTATTGGCAGGGGACTGGAACCCAGAGCAGAGGGGAGACCCCTAGAAAGTCCTGGGCCAAAGCAAGAAAGAAGCCAGAGCTACATCCCGTCGACGGCGCCGATTACAAGCAGTCCTCGAGGGCGCATGAGGGCGCGAGTGATTCTGACATGAGCTGAAAGTGAGTGCGCTGCAAGTCTGAGTGCAATCATGGTGTTTGCTTCGTTTTTTCGGGGTGAGTGGTATTTTTGTTTAATTTGATTCTGCTTCCCTGGAACGTGATGACCATGCGGTTGCACTTCAAGTGTAATGGCCGGAAGCCCAGGGGAAGCCCATCCCTTCAGGAGGTTCTGAGTTTTGTGAAGCGTCGCACTCTCAGGGTGTTCCTAGGGGACTTTGGGCGCGCGCTTAGGTCTTCCCTGTTTCGAGCCTGGCAAGGGGATGCAAACCTGACTGCCAGCCCCTGGTATTCCATAGCTTGTGGACCCATCTACCTGACTAGATGCTGCACAATGGCGAGGCCTGTACTCGTTCCGCACCCCTACGTACCACCCTCTTTTCTCTTTTGTTGCTGCCCTAGTGAAGCCCGCCATGGAAGTAGCACGCAACTACGAGAACTCCTACTGCCGGTGCGGCAAAATCGTGGTGACTGCATAAACCCTAAACTTTACGTTGGTTGCGTTTGAGTATGCTGTACTTGTTGCCCTTGTCATGCCTACCGAATTATTGGGTCCCAGGCACCAAAAAGATTGCCGCAGCTGACCGCTTTTGCCTAGTGAGCAGCATGTACTGGTTTTTTGCCTTGTTTCTCAGTTAGCCTCGAAGCCGGCAAAGTGTCAATCGGAGTCATCTCTACCGAGGGAGTCACCATTTACCGGGCGCCCGGCAGAGCGAGAGAGAGAGAGAGAGAGCGAGGTGAGTGAGTGAGCGAGTGAGTGAGTGCCCCAAAGCCATGGGAAAGAAAGAAAGAAGCAAAGTGAGTGCCCGAGTGAAAGAAAGCTGAGGAGAGACGGACTCATCCCGGGTCACTGCCAGGATTCCGACGAGGATCCACCGGCTGCAGTCAAGTGGAGCTTCGGAGATTACGGCCCCGAGACCCACGCGCTGGTCACCCAGCTCCTCGTCTAAGGTGGCATTTTCAAGTACTACCGGCGGACAGGAAATTTCTAGTCGGAGGGATTTCCACTTGCCTAGACGCCTGGAATCCAACCTACTATGGTGAACAGGGTTTCAAGCCTCGCTATATAGGGTACAGATCCGTCATGCGGTGCCATGCATCCGCCACGTCCAGCATCCAAGGTTCAATGGCAGGGAGACGGCGACCGGATCCTGCTTGGCGTTCGCACCTAGGAACAAGACCGGCAGCAACAACCAGGCGACCCAGGAGGATTGGCAAGCAGAGACCAAGGACGACTTTATCAAACTGGAGCCCTGGGCAGTGCCTTGTGGCAACCAGTGGATGAAGGACCATTGGGACAAGTGGCAGGGGTATTCCTTTTACTCGGTGGACGCTTCAATAGAAAAATGCCTGACGGTGACTTTCTCGTTGAGCATGCAGCCTGTGGTCGCCTTCGTGGGTGGCATCCAATTCGACTTGCTGCCCGGGCCGCTGGCCGAGATCGACACACAAGTCAGGGGCTTAACATGGTTCGTACAGCTTGTAACTGCTTTTGCCACCTGGCTCGGGACCCAGGGTCTCTCCACCAGAAAGGGGGGGCTCGGCTCGGGCGGCGGGCGGGGGCGGGGTTCTTTTTCCGGGAAGTGGATGAAGAGGGGGGGGGGGGGAACCTTTGTCCAATTCGGCCAGGGCCGAGGCGAACGTAGGGTTCAGTCTTAGGCACGGGCATGATTGCACGGCGGCCCCTCCTCAAATTCGTATGCTCGGCGGCACGACGCCGCCGCAGTCGGAAACAGAACCGGGCAACAATGGGACTAAGATTTGCTTACCTCTGCACTCTGCGCCCTCCTATTCACGAGGTCTGCTGGCCACGGCACCAGCCGGGTGGGCTGGACCTGAGCGTGTTGCGGTCCGTCATCAAGTCGAACGGCGTGATGCTCTTCAGCCGGACACTTCGTCTGCACAAGAGGTTTGGCGACGACACGCACT